GTGTCGGCAAACGCGATTATGGAATAATGATGAACGCCCTCGCGGAAAAATTCTTACCCTTGTTCACCATCAGTGAAGAGGCGACCCATTTCTCCGTTGTCACATTCGCTAATCAGGCAACCATACGAATACCTTTTAATCACACAGCGTCTTCACGTCTTCAGCAATTGGCAGATCTAATCAGCGATATGTCAAATGATGAGCTTGGCCGTCCAACAAGGACAGACAGGGCAATAGAAGCTGCTAATGAAGCCTTCGAAGAAGCAAACGGAGATCGTCGTCATGCTGCAGACGCACTGGTTTTGTTAACTGACGGAAAAACGCACGTTGATTCAAAAAATTTCATTGGGGACCAAGGAGTTTTAAACCCAATCATAGTAAGTATCTTTTATTCATTTAACAGTTATTGAAATGTATTAAAGAATTATTTAGACCGAGGAAGATGTTATCGTCCAAGGTGGCTAAAAGCCTCTGAGATCTGCATAATTCTTCATGAGTACGAAAGCCTTATTCAATGATTGTTCGGCTATTCATTCAAAATTAAAGTTCTCAACAATCTTACCTTCTCTAAGACTTTCTTGGAAACATTTGCCTGTTTTTCGGAGCGGTTTCAGGATTTAAACAGATCTCAGCTTTTTCTGGCAGATACTTCTCATAAAGTAGATGACCTCAATCAAAGCAAGCGTATTCGTGCAATTATTCCGTTGAGTTTCAGTCAGAAATTCGGCTATTTCGTCTTCGGATAACAGAGAACTCTTTCGCTAGTTTTTTGAGTTTGAGTTTACTAGTAAGGAGGTTGTTATTTTATATTGGGGCAATATGCCATTTTGTCGGTGGTATATTACCTATATCTTCCAAAACTGGTGAGCGCGGGTGGATATGAAGAATTCAGCAGGTGCAAACAGACGCAACAACTCCCAACGTTATTGGCCCAACAATGTTACGAGTTGTTGCGTCCGTGTTGGCAGTGGTGTGCAAACAGATGCAACAACTCCCAACAATTTTGGGACCTGCAGTGCATCGTGGAAAGGACACAACCCATAAGACTTTAGAGCGAACCATGTGCAATCTACGTGCGAGGCCCCAACAATGCTGGAAGAGCTGTGCAAACGGGTCAAACTTTGTTGCGCTACGCTTCGGAGATCACGGTACAAAAGAAATGTTGGAAGCTGTTTCAAACTTTGCCAAACAACTCCCAACAACATGCAACGTGTGGGCAAACGGACGCAAAGTGTAACATCCAACAATTTTGGGAGTTGAACGCATAATTGACCAGCTCCCAACATCAGTGGCTTCATAGCTCAGTTGGTTAGAGCTTCGCACCGGTATCGCGAGGTGACGGGTTCAAATACCGATGAAGTCGGGAAATTTTTTTCAGGCTTCTTACGCAATTGCAATTGCATAAATTGTGTTCACAATTCTGAGGATCATTCTTCACTTGATTTCATGATTTATTTCATATACATGCATCTACCACAATGTTTCGTCTGTTTGCAAGGCCTTTCTCTTGTTCTTGACCACAGATTTGTTCATAGAATGTTATTACGTATTTCTATATTTATATATCTGTTGTAAATGGAAAGAGAGAGAGACAGTGACGCCTTAAGGATAAACATTTAACTTAGTGTTTTCGCACTATTCTCCTCGTGGCTTTGTCACTCACTCGCGCTCCCCAACGAAACCACCAGCTCTGACGCAGGCTAATGAAAGCTAAAGACTCATGTTCTCAAAACGTAATCCTTACATCGGTCCACGGTGTCAAATTTTATAGGAGAAAAATGTTCATCGTGTGGTTGTTGGCATTGGTAGTAAAGCTAAACAGTACCGGTATCAACTGGAAGAGATTGCTGGCAACACTGATAATGTGATCGATGTACAGTCCTTTCAACAACTCTCAAAATCGCTTCGAAGACTCCGAGAAGTTACCTGCAGTGAGTATCATCATGTTTCAGTTTTTCTTAATCTTCGGCCAAACGGGCAACAAGAATGTGCACCTTGTTTGCAACATTGCTGCAGAACGAGTAGAATAGCGATGTAACGCGTTTTACCACCCACGTTCAAACCTGTTAACAACCTGATGATTTGTTGCAAGAAAGGTTTGGTGTGGATGGCAAAGCTCGCAACATCCCTATTCAACTCGTTTTGCAGTAATGTTGCAAGACAACGGTTGCAGGTTTTTTTTTGCCCGGTTTTCCGTACCTATAAGTTAATTTACATTGTATGTTGCATGTGACTTTTCTTATCTATATCGCAGTTTTATGGATGCTTATTAACAATTTTTATGCGCGCTCATTAGTTGCAAAATGTTGACATGGCGGAAAAGACAATGGAAATAACGTGATGAATGTGCATTTTCTGCATATAACAATACACATTCACTTTCTGTCATCCATTATTGTTTATTTTATAGACGCCTGTAAAGGCAGACGCCAAAGTTATAAAATATATATAGTAGCCTAATTTCCGTGGGCTTCTTAAAAATAACGACCGGGTGCGAAGCGTGAGGTTATTAGTTCTGCATTGTTTTAGAACTAGCCAATTAGAGGAGCAGGATCATTATTCTGCGGTGCCACCCCAGTGACCTGCTCTTTCATTTATTGAAAATAATAACCTGAGTATTGAAAAGGTGCATTATTATCTTATTCACGATACCCGCCATCTTTGCACGCGCTCTAGGATCGATGGGATAAAAGCTATGTCACGTGGTGTTTCATGGGGCAAACAAGTGATAAAATTTCCCAATACGAGTAATCGCGGTCGAATTTATTTATTCTATCAAAACGTGACGACGATTTCATAGTCATGCAAAATGTACATATCGAGTTTTTGCAAGATTTACGTCATTACTGTTTGCTATAATTACTACTACGGTCGCTACTGCATACAAAAAAATAACAATTATCACTTCCACCCATATTTTGACATTATCGTCTTTAAGATGAAAAGGTCTTCATTTCCTGTTGTGTAGAATAAACAAACTCAACCTCGATTATTTCCATTGGCATTATTTTTACTTGTTTTCGCCATTATCTGTTCCATTCACGCAAATTTATAATCAACGGATTGAAACTGGTATAGTTCCAAATATATTAAAACTTTCACAGGTTACTCCAGTCTCCACTGAGCAGGCCGTCTTAGAAATTACTGACTCACGTAAGAAGGCTATGGATAAAAAATTGGTCACCTGCGATATTTTTCTTGACTTTTCAAAGGCATTTGACACAATTAACCATGATATTCTGTTATCGAAACTCTATAGGTATGGTATACGTGGAAATCCTCTCAGATGGTTTTTAAAATACTTATACAATCGTAATCAAGTTTTCAAAATTGGTGACACTATATCAAGCAGTCAGACCATTATCTGTGGTATACCTAAAGGGTCAACTTTGGGTCCATTGTTATTTCTGCTTTATATTAACGATTTGCCAAACTGTTCAAGCAAACTATCCTTCCGAATCTTTGCTGATGACACTAATATGTTTATAAAAGTAATAATCTGCATAACCTTGAGTCAGTCATGAATGAAGTATTTAAGTCAGTAGTTAAGTACTGTGCCATTAACAAATTATCTATAAACTTTTTAAAGACAAATTACATCCTAGTCTCATCCTCAAGTTTAAGTGGAAGTATAAATGTATATATCATCAAGATCAAAAGCTAAATAAAGTACCTGGGTGTGTATAGATCAACACTTACACTGGGGACCTCAAATCTGCATACAATGAAACAACTGTATTACTCTTTCATCTATCCCTATTTAACCTGGGGAAGTGCTTGCAAAACTAGGCTGAATAGGATTAGGACTAAGCAAAATAAGTGCATTCGTTCAATTTTTTTTGCACACAGTAGAAAGAATGTTAAGTCTTACTACAATTTATTGGATATCCTCAAATTTGATAACATTTTCAAACACAAAGTAGCACTCTTTGCACATAAAATCATTAAAGATCCAACAGGCATCCCAACAATATTTTCTGGAACTCTACCTCTAACTTCCTACTGCCATAGTCATTATACTGTTTTTTCTAATCTTAACTTCCATAGGCCACAAATAAATAAGAACTATGGAGCTTCCCCTTTTTCTTTCATTGCATTGAAAATATGGGAGACTATTCCACTGGAGCTTAAAAACTAAGTTACTACCGCTTCTCTAAACACTTCAAGTTATATCTGCTTCATTCGCAATGTGTTTCGTAGAATATATTGATTTAGTAAAATCCACTTAGTGGTCTATTATCAATGCTGCGTTCTGATTTGTTGAGCTACTACTAGGCTATATGTTATAGCTCACTAGTAGCGAAAAGCGCCGGATTTTGGGTGGCAAAAAAGGATTAAAGTCTAGCTTTAGCTAGCTAAAGTTGTTTTGTCTCGATATTTTTGACCCACTAGTTGAATTTTACTAAAACAATTATTCCTCTCGGCCTCATGGACTCAGAGTCAATAGCGCATTCGGCCGTCGGCCTCATGGGCTATTGACTCAGAGCCCATTCAGCTTCGAGGAAAAATTGGTAATTAGTTTACTTTAGTTTAACCACTTTTAGCCATGTTTTGTTGTTGCTTTTTGTTGTTGTTGTTGTTGTTGTTTTGCTTATTGTTTTCTTTTTGTTTTTTGTTTAATACCCGTCAATATTGTTACTTTAAAACCTTTTCTCTTTGTATAATTATTTTTCACTGCGCTTTTTGTATATGCCAGCTAGCTTAACGTGGTAGTGACCAACCCGGAAGCATCAGCTACTTTGGTCACTGCGCACATCTTAATTCCTTAATTTCTTGTTATCTTTATTTCTGACATTGTTCCGTAAGGTATTTATTCAAATTCCAATACCAATGTAATCAATATGTTAATTGTGCAAAAACAATAAAATCTGAAATCTGAAATCTACCCCCTGAGAAACCACGTGACATCGCATTTATCCCATCAGTCCTTAAGCGCCTGCAAAGATGGCGGGTATCGAGAATAAGGTCCATTCAGGTAAAGCAAGTCTTGCTTTTTTGCAATGACTTTCAAAGGTTTGGATGGAGGATATTCTCCTTGGAGTTCATGGACGAAGTGTTCTGCATCTTGTGATGGAGGAATTCGCTGGCGCAACAGAACCTGTACTCACCCTGCCCCAAAGCATAGGGGAAAAAATTGCACCACAATTGGACCGAGTGAGGAGTCAGGAATGTGCAATACAATGGACTGTGGTAAGTGCAAAGTAAGATAATGCAAACTTGGAACGGAGAAAAAGTAACGGTTGGAATTTGTACGTTTTAAAGAAAATGTTCATGTGGGTTAAGATCAGAGGTAGTATTAGAATCGTAAAGAAAGCTACAACCCTGGTCAAAACGTCTTGGGACACTTGAGGAAATTAGGCACAAAGACGCACTTTGTAAAATTAACTCATATTCTACCTCTTAAAACAGCTTGGGGATGATGTTATAAGGGGCTATTTCTGCTGTCCCCCTCTCCCCCAAGCAGTGTTGATTGTGTTGAATTAAAACTTGAATGCATAACGTCAACATTGTGCCGAGGGGAAAGGGGGGAGGGAAGACGCCTCAATTTGACGAGCTATTGCGTTAGTTTCCCAAGAGTTTTGACCAGGGTTGTAGTTGAACTACTGTTGTCTTCCCTCTTCTCACTGTGACCCCAAAGTGCCTTTGAATAATCTTCGAATTGTATAAAAGTATTTCTAGATGGAGCGTACAACCTAAAAACGCAGCAGTTCTCAAATACCCAATATGTATTGCTCTCCGTTCCTCTTTTGACCTTTTTTCGAATCGTTTAAAAGTATTAAGATGACGCGTATTGCTACTAGAAATACAAAGATTCCCTGATTCAAAATCTGTATTGCCCTGTGTTCTCTTTTCCATGAAAAAACCTTGTTGGGAAACTTAATAAAACGAGGCTTTTTTGTGCATTTGAAAGGTCATGACGGGAACTTTACAGAATGGACAGAATGGTCGAATTGTAGCAAAGATTGCGATGGTGTGCAAAACAGGTATCGTTTTTGCACACACCCACCTCCTGAGGGACTTGGTAAGAACTGCACAGGAGACGCAAATGAAACCAGACCCTGTGGCGAACAATGCAAAGGTAATAATATAATACAAAATAAGTAGTCTTCTTCCTCTCTCTCCCCTTTTCAGAATATATGAAATTTATTACTGAAAGAAATTGAGCGGTGTAACGAGAAATTTATTGGGATGACGGGAGCACCCTCACCCTTTTGCGATAACGACGCCTTTGCTTAAATTTATTCCAAAGTAAGATTCACACTTGGTGTCTCAGCAAACAGGAAATGAAGCTTAATAGTAGTAGATTGTTTAATTTGCACAAAAAGCGCGCGTGGTGTTTCGTTGATAAGGATTAAAAACGTGCACATTACTGACCACTCTTTTTACTACTGCTAAAAATAATAGTATAAATAATAATAATAATAATAATAATAGTGATGATGATGATAATCATGGTA